GACGAGCCGTTGTATAAGTATAAAAGAGGGTGAATAATGTGGTAAATAATAATAATAGTAATAAGAATCATTTGATTGTTATTCGAAGCGAGAAAAGTAGTTTCCATAGATATAGAGAGTTCATCATTTGCGTGTGGGCTGCGATAATGCCCAGGTGCCCAGACCGAAGCACGTGGTTTTCTTAGAGGGCCACACCCGGAGCCTTTGACCTAAAGGTCTAACCCACAAGGCAGTGGAGCATCGTAAGGAGATGCAGTCCCATGGTAGCCGGTGACCAGCGATTGGTTCATACGCCATTTGTTCCCGCAGGATACTGCAGCCCATGTGCACCATTGGTTTGAAATCCGGATAAAGCACCGGACATTCGCTTTTCGTCCTCTCATTTTTGTAAATAACACCCCCGTCACGAGAAGGCATTGAGTAGGACTTCCCTGGCAGAGACTGTATACGCGTGGCCGTGTGAGAGTATTTTGAGAGGGAGAGCGGACTCTCGCCACTCTCGGCCGTACCAGGGTATTTGGAGGCCATACTTCGTAGGTTGTTCAAAACCCGAGAAAGATTGACTCGCGAGGAGCAGGCTAGTTTTCGTTCTGCTCGAAGATGTATTGATCATGTTAGAACACTGTCATACTTATCAAATGAAGTAGTTGAGTGTGTCGACCTCTTCACTTATCTTGGAGGTCTCATCAGCCCTTGTGGTCTGGTGTGCGACGAAATCTCAGCACGGATACAGAAGGCTCGACTAGCTTTTGCCAACTTGTGTCATTTATGGCGTAGGCGAGATATCCGTCTATCAACCAAAGGACGTGTTTACTGTGCAGCAGTTCGTTCCGTCCTACTTTATGGCAGTGAAACATGGCCGGTAAGAGTACAGGATATTCGTAGGTTACTAGTATTCGATCATAGGTGTCTTCGAAACATTGCTCGTATATCCTAGGACCATCGAGCAAGTAACACAGTTGTTAGGACACGGGTACTAGGTAAGGATGGCAAATCCATTGATGAAGTGATGAAACTTCATCAGTTGAGATGGCTGAGACACGTGTTACGTATGCCCAAACACCGACTGCCTCGACGAGCGATGTTCAATGGTATAGGAGTAGGTTGGAAGAAAGCTAGGGGCGGCCAGAACAAAACATGGCACAAATCCATGAAGTCACTGACAAGTGGACTGAGTCATGTTGGTGAGTGTAGACTACCTGGTTGGGGACCGCGAGATGAAAGCAACCGGTGGTTAGAGACCCTGAATGACATGGCTCAAAATCGTTTGCAATGGCGCAGGTGCATCCACTCTTAGTGTTCTCCCAAATTCTAATCTTCTGATTTCTTCATGTCCCTTTCTTTTTTCTCTTTCCAAACTTATTTCACTGCATTATAGTCCTTGAATAACATCTTCAAACCCTAATTTTTCTGATTACAGCTTATAACCTTACTACCTTTACCACTACGGCATTTGAATCGACCACTGCATCTTTGTGCTAATGTGGTGTGGCAACTCGAACTGATGTACGTACGTACGAAGTTCTATGTTGTTACTGACTGACTGATTATCAAATGCCAACAATCGTAGTGTTTCTTAAAATCAGGGCTGCCTTCGATTCGTTGGACAGGACTGTTCTCTAGGATTGTCTATTGAAGAGGGGTGTGTTTAAGAAGTTTACTAACATCGGTGACAGATTTGCTGTTTGCCTGTAAGATCTGGCCTCTACGAATTGAGGATATCAGGAGACCTTTCTCGATCCTTATTGTCTCCAAAAATGTTAACACTATGTTAGTACGGAGGTTCGGCATCGTGTGTTCAGACACAGTGACGACAATACAACTGGTATCACCATCTTGAAACACCGACTTCGGTGGCTTGCATATGTTCTACGAATGTCATCTCAGAGAATTCCACATCGTGGATTATTTGCTGACACTAGGAACGGTTGGAAAAAAACGGAGGTGGTCAGCACACTTGGTGCCGTGATATGAAAGAAAGCTGTTGATCCTTCACGACTCCCTGGTTGGGATCCTAGAGTTGGTACAACACGATGGCTTAAGACATTATCAGACATGGCTCAGAATAGAAGCGAGAGGAGATTCTGCTTTAACCCTTCATAAAAGTGAACGTAACTTCGTCAACAGGAAGAATTTTTTCTGGCTGTAGTTTCGTTAACTGAACTGTTTCTCCCATTATTATTATTATTTCACTCTCATACACTAGTTTCTGTTCGTTGTTGTTCTTTTCATTATACACACTTTACATTAATTATCTCTTGATAACCTCATCGTTATTGTGTGGCCTATATGTATTTAGTGCTCACTTGTACCAATGGTTGTTTTCGAATAAACATAAATAACTACTGACTAATATTCAGTAATCAGTTCCAATTATAATAACTTTTGAGTGAATATCGTATTATGCGTATTATTATCAGTGCTTCCAAGTTTTACATAGTGATCTAGTTTAATCGACTCACGAGTTCAACTATGAAATCATACGTATTAATTGTGAAATATGTCTAAGCATTTACATAAATTGATAACGTCCAAATTGTTCATCGTAATCGCATCTTACTAATACTTGCAAGTTACTTCCAATTCTAGTGTATTCGTTGGACATTTTATCCTACTGTAACAGTTCCGATTTTCGATCCCCTTCATTGCTATTTCGGAGTTTCCACTCAAATACTAGCTATTACAGCTTTTCATATGTTGTATTAAATAATTTTCATATATATATATATATATATATATATATATATCCATTTCAGTAAGCATTCTTCTTTAATAGTATATGAACACCGTACATATCGTAAGCACCTAATGAATTGAGGTTTATAATGTATTTCATGTATCTTAGCAATATTAGTGCCTCATTTGCAGGTTTTACGTATAACTTAACCATGTAGTTAGTTTCCATAAGATTGAGTATAATGTTTAAAATATATCTTAGAACTTTTGATAAGGTTAGGAACAGATTAAAGGAAGCATTACAGTCAAGAGAAAAGGGACAAAATAAATTATTTTGATGAAAAAAGTGACGTATGGGAGAGAATGATAATGATTAGGTGTCTGCTTAGTCAGACATGTAGATAGTCTGACAGATGTCAGATGAGTTATATACTCCCCTATCCTTATAATAATAATTATTGATTGTTCATTGCTGTTGGATTGTGTCGAGTTTTGGTGTGGAAATATATTTACGTTCCAGTAAGGCCAATTACGTGTTCTTGACCTGAGAGTTGTGTTGAAGTCCTGTAGAATAGACACTGGGAGGGAATCCAGTGTAGATACTCGTCTAAGGTAAATTAACATCCCATTTGTGCATATATATAAACGAAGTAAAACCAACCTGTTGCATCCCGATAAGAATAATGAATGGTAATTTTTGGGATCCAATTATGGACCAATATTATGAGTATATTTTTATCGTATAATTGTTATGCAACTAAACTGTTCATATTCATACCCCTCTTATTATGAGCTTTATGTTGACCTATGAACTACTATTGTACGATTTACCATTCATGAATTATTCCCTATCTGTCAATCGCTACCTCCCTCATTCACAGCCACTTCTGGCTAAGTATTGTACAAATATTATTTTCTATTTTATTGGTACGTTGTGGTCGGGTTGATTGGTATATAAACAGAGTATGCTTGAAATACAATGATTCATATCTCAGAGGCTGAGACTTGTGTTCTGGACACAACTGGCTTGGCTAGACAGGGAAGCAGGACCAATCAGAACTCTAGGTCGTTCTTACGTGTTTGACGCGTCTTTGGTCCGATCGATAATACACTGCTCTTTAACCTTTCAGTCAAGGACACAACAATTAGCACGGGGTAAAAATCGATCCAAGTTCCAGTCACAACACAACCGTTATAACAAAAAGCCAACAAAATATATCTTGTTACACATCGAAAAATGATAAATGAACATTGCTCTACGTATACTCTCGAATGTAAACTATCTGAATAGATAAGATGAAGTGCAGTAGACTGAGTCATGGCAAATTCACTCAAGTACAATAGTAAGTCAATAGAAATTTGAGGGTGAAATATCATGAGGAACTTGATCATTCGGCTAACAAGAGGTTGTTACTCACGAATTCGGATGAACGATATGTTGGTGAGATATACAAAAATGCTAGAATGAGTGTCCAAATTGTAGTTTAAGCAATTTTACGGTATTTTGACAACCAAATAAAATTCCTGATACTTATGGCTGTCAAACTTCATGTGAATTCATGAAACCATTGTGGGAATAAATAAATCCACATGTTCCTAGAGTCATGAAGTATTTCAAGTGTGATTCACATAAACCAAAGATGATTTGAAAACAATTAAAATTATATTGCTCCAATGGGAGAACACGGGAATTCTATTGAAACTATTGTTACAAACAATTAAGCAGAAAGAAGGATCATGAATACTTAGATTTAATTAAGAATAAATGTGATAGTTGATATTAAAGTCCATGGCAGTCTCAGTTATCTAATCGTATCTTAACTAGTTAAGGCAATCACTCAGTTGATCTGACTGACTGTAGTCCATGAGTTTCAATTTTGTCTTGCACTTTTCTGCCACAAATCCATTCTTTCATCTCGTATCCTTGTGTTCATAATTAATCTTTTTTACTGTTGCTGATATTACATATATAATCTAAATCTTAGTGCTTGCTTGAAAACTGTCACTCAAGTCAAGATATGGCAACAAGTTTAACTGAACTTTAAGATCATAATGCAGTATATCAGGTGTTAAATGGCTTGGGATAATCGGGTGGAAGCCCATGAAGTCTAAATTTTATGTTAATTGGTATTCGTTTGTAAGGTGCCTACACAAGCTTCAAGGAACTGATATTCCCAGTAAGAATAGCACTATTGGTAAACAATCCAAATATAGTAAACATACTGATATTAACAGTGAATAGAGGATTGCAGAAGGTATATCCAGATAAAAACCACAATAAAAATCTATTGAGCAAATAAATTGTGCGACTTTTAAAAACTTACTATTTAGAATATCGCCATTTCGTAGAGGTCGCATATCTGGTATTCCATGACAGATCACTTCGTTAACCGATCTGAAATATTGATAGTGAAAGTAAAACAGAATAATAGCTGTTGTAGGTATGCATGAATGTATATGTGAATGTTGAAGATTTTCATATAAAGGAAGCAAAAATCTCGGATACCCGATGAATAGTTACACAAAAAGGTATACTTAAGTGATCAAGCTAGTATAATTATCGTACCACTTGGCACTCGTCAGAGGCCTGGCGAATCCGATCTCGAGTCACCCAGATACAAAATCAGAGACATTGACACAGATCAATTCTAGCCGCCATTGAACTGCTGTAGGGTGACACGAGGTCGAAATACACCAGAGAGCATCATTCACTTCAGGATTACAGGTAAATCTTGTTCACAAGCGCTAAATAGCACGAAACTTAGGTTTACGGTTTCTCGTCGACTACCACCCTATCTATCAAAATAGTGCGTGTGGTGTTGAGTCACTAGTGGCCACATTACAACTTTATCGATAAAATACGATCAACACTAAGGACTTGACATATATGACAGTGGTAACTGCTCAATGATCAATCAATTGTAAAAGTATCATTATCACTAGAATTTGATAAAACTGGTTGAAATCCTTTTTGAATGAATACACGTTTGAACAAACACTTAGAAAATAATAATACTATTCTATCTGCTGGAAATAATACAAGTATCATAAACCATGTATTCACTACGTAGAATGCTAAGAATCCAAAAATGAATGATTTCAAAACACCTACACTATAAAACACAATAATATGCTGAATAACACTGATTCATTAAAGATTTTGGTTGTTATTCTTGAGGATTTTGGAAGTTTTTTTTAGTTAAAATTGGTGATATAATCGAAATTGTTAATCCAAAAAGTAATATAATTTTTAAGCAGATAATATTACATCCTATGACTTGGTTTGATATTTGAAACATTTTATTCGATATGCTTATCTATTCAAAGTATCCAATATTCTTGAAAAATTAAAGCAAACGAGAAACTAGGATTACAATAATTTCGCAGACTTACGTGCAACATGACTTCGGAAAATTGAAGTAGTTTAGTGGAGAAGGATAACATTCACGTTCAATGCATGCCTTAAAATGTGAGAACATAATAATTAGCCAATACAGTCTTAAAAATAACATTAGGATGATAAAGAACAGATGAGTTGTGACTAGCAGTCAAATCCAAGTTGGGTGTTTGATCAGCTGGATGTAGCTGTAACATTTCAGTGGATAGTGCATTGGACGTTCAAAACGAGAGGTATTGGGTTCGAGTCTCAGTATGAACATCAACCCAATTTCAAGTACATTCAACTGACGGGACGAAAAGAGAATCATAGCCCTCAGGAACCAGCCAAAATCTATATATTCTATAAAACCTAAAATAATATAGCTACATAAAAGCAATCCATAGGATATCCACATGTGACATGACAAAATTTGATCCTCAATATCAATGATGGAATAATTCAATATATATTGACATAAGCCGTCTTGACCTTCACTACACAGTTTGGTTTCATTAGCCACGCCATCATTAGTACTGACAGCATACCGGATACAAGGATTTTTCCATTACTTTTAGTGGTTCACAATAGAGAATGGGTGTAGGCACGATCTCCGGGTAATCTTGCAAGTGTTTTGTGTTTTGAAAGTATGAGATATAGCTTATATATATGATCACTTATGGTCAACTAATTAGGTGCGATTTGGACTCATTATCATTGCACAGTTGGAAAATGTCGTCTACGAACTCGAGGTCGAAGTCTTTTTCCAAATAACAGATCCAGACCACCATCACTATAACGCGCTTCCTTTACAGCCAGGAATAATGTCGACAGAAAGGTTGGGCAGGAATCGTGGAATTACGTAACCCTCTTGAACCATACTACTAGACAGGAACAATGGAGGGAGGCGGTTATACGTCCTTACTCTACCTGAAGCGTTTGTTGTGTACAGAGCCACGCACAGCCTTAAAGCGCGACACTACTCAATTAACTGAGGGCGGCCCTGATATCAGGGAATACAACGAGTGTTGGCGAACAGAGGGATAGGAATTGAGAATGCGATCAATACATCCATGATCAGAAAAGAAATAAATCTAACCAAAGTGAACCATCCACGGGTTCTGTGTAACCTGTGGAGTATGATGGAAGCCTTTAGTTTGGGAGCAACCGAAAGTAAATATATGGCTCGGTAGTTTTCGTATATACTACGTACGGCACTTTCAAAGATGAGAATGACAATCGCCCCAATCCAAGATGGAATACCCTTTGTTTTCCAAATCCTCCCAGACAAACCAATTGGTCCATTTGCCAACAGTTTGCCACCACCATAAAAAAGAACTGAAGTAGGTATTCTGGGTCAGGTGACTTGTGAAGCTCTAAAGGCTTCAATCTCTTACAGAAGTCGACCTCATTAGATAAATCAGTAGTCACAAGCCCAGAACAGTATAAACAACATTACTAGGGCAACAGGTTGGTTAGATTGTCCCTTGAAATGCTTTACCAAGAGTTCAAGAAGTGTTTGGAGGTCACTAATAAACGTGCCAACATCGAATCATTCCACAGACACTACGTATTTTGCTGTCAGTAGCTCGAGCGAGATAAAAGAGCCTCACGCAGCCACCAGATCCAGCTTTTGGTTCCAACTGATAAGTATGCCCAGACCAGAGTTCCTAGTCCTTACTCAAGATTCGTAAAATTTCCTGACCGGTATAACTCAAGAAATCTACAGAAACTTAATTTCTTCTCGCTTTGATGAGGCCTTCTAATTCAATAGCAAATTACAACTTTCAATTTGGATCCAGTCAATTAGTGATACCTCTCTATACGAGCTCAATGGAACAAGTGTTTGCAAAGTCGGATGCTGATGTTATAGGTTTCTCGGATAAGTGGATATAAAATAAATTTCTTGAATCAATAGTTGAAGTGAATCAGTCAGTCAGCTACAACGTAAGACCAGGCTCATATGGGCATTGGTCCAGGTTGCCATACCGCATCAGCACAAGATGAACACCGGATTCATAGCAATGGTTAGGTCAAAGGTGGTAATATATAAGAGAAAGATTGCATATAGAGATATAGTACAAGAAGAAAGAATTGGTTCGTAGAAAGAAAGATATGAAGCGATTTTAATCTCTTAGTTTAAGGGAAGACAGGGAGTGTATACACCTACGCCACTGTGATCGATTCTGAGCCATGTCACCAAGAGTCTCCAACCATTGGTTACGACAGTCACGCGGACCCCAACCAAGTAGTCTGCATCTACCAACATGGCTCAGACTAGAGGTTAGTGTCTTCAAGCACTGATGCCACGTTGAAGTGAATATATAGTAATCTGTTAAGATCTTGATTACGGGTCTTAGATATACAGCACACACAGGTAATAAAGACTATTCTGAAGACAAATAAATCTATTTATTGGTGAACATCCCTAAAAGATTATTTTGCAACCGTTAAAAACAACTGTGCATAGACCTTGATACAAATAGGGTCTAAAGTAACATTTGGGAGTTGGAGAAAGAGAAACATATTTGAAGTGTGCTTGGATTGATGCCCATGGAGATCACAAGACTGCATTTTTTATGGTCATCATCGAACAGAACTAAATTATTTGTATATTCTAAGTCAACAAGTAAATCTCCTGGTTAGAGAACGATTTCTGAGAGTATTATCTTCAAAAGGATGTCTGTAACAAAATTAAACGAAAATGAAAAGGGTGAAAACCTCACAAGTGATGGTTCACCAAGAGTACAAAACTATTATTAGCTTCTTACCTCATGTACAACTCGATCGATTTCATCAGTCGTTACACCAACTTTAACAGCTTTTACTGCTTCTTCTAAGACTTCACGGGCAAGCTTGAAAATATAAATATAAGACGTCAACTAAGGGAACCATTAATTTGTAAAAACTGAGTAAAAAAGAATATTCAGAACTAATTTCAAACTGTGGATAATTTTTTCTGAAACGCAAGTGTAGATCACACTTTATTATTATCAAGAACGCAAAAGTACTGCAACGAAATATGATCAGCTGACAACTACATAAAAACTGTTAATTGAACATCAACAGATAAGATGCACAGTTCTCAACGTATTGTTTGATAGACATACATATATTAATTGTTTACTGGAAAATTGAAATTCTATATTGTACCAAAATATAATATTGAATAAAGCCATTAATAATTGATAATAATAATAATAATAATAATAATAATAATAATAATAATAATAATAATATTCTGTGCGGTTCACTGATTAGGGGGTTTGAACTTCAACTATTATTTATTTATTTATTTATTTATTTGGACACATGAATATTGGTACAAGAGAGCGCCAATATATATGCGCCACACAAAACAATGAAAATTCGAGAGGAATACAAAGAAAAAAAAGCTAAGGAGCGCAACAAAAAAAAGAGAGAACAATAACGAAGAGATTGGTGTAAGGTAATGTGCTAGTAATCAGGGAACGCAAAGGTACAATCGGAAGAAATCTTTCAGGTAAGGGAGACAGAACCACTTTTTATGAAGAAAGTAAAAGGTTACAGCAGGATCGCCACTGGCTTCTATTCTGAGCCATATCTGATAACGTCTCTAGCCACTGTGTAGCACCATCTCTCAAACCCCAACCAGGGAGTCGTGAAGGACCAACACAAGCCAGTCCTTTGCAGCTTTCTTTCATGCCACGACACCATGTCATGCACTGACCACCTCTCCGCTTCTTCCAACCAGTCCCAGAGTCGGCAAATAATGCACGACGTGGAATTATCGCACAGTAAGACAATATCGTCCGCATACTCAAGGTCGAGAAGTCTTTCTCCAGGCAACAGATCCACACCACCATTACTTACATGGTATGCCCTGGTACGGTCGAGAGTGGGGTGAGTCCGCTCTCCCTCTCAAAACACTCTCACACGGCCACGCGTATACAGTCTCTGCCAGGGAAGTCCTACTCAATGCCTTCTCGTGACGGGGGTGTTATTTACAAAAATGAGAGGACGAAAAGCGAATGTCCGGTGCTTTATCCGGATTTCAAACCAATGGTGCACATGGGCTGCAGTATCCTGCGGGAACAAATGGCGTATGAACCAATCGCTGGTCACCGGCTACCATGGGATTGCATCTCCTTACGATGCTCCACTGCCTTGTGGGTTAGACCTTTAGGTCAAAGGCTCGGGGAGTGGCCCCCTAAGAAAACCACCTGCTTCGGTTTGGGCACCCGGGCAGTATCACAGCCCACACACAAACGATGAACTCTATGTCTTTTTATCGCTCCGAACTTCAACTACTATGCCAGAGACTTCATTAGCTTCAGTTTAGACAGTCTGAGAGTATTACTGCCTCACGCAATGTCTTAAGATCGACAAATTCTTAGTAAAAGTGAAGCTCAACTTTTTGTAGAATATTAAAGTTAGTTGAGACGCACACATTGTATTAGGCAACTCAGCACTAAAATTTTACTGGGATATGTTTCCATTTTAAATATCAAATTACCTTTCCTGTAACACGCATGCATTCAATTTCATCGTCGTCCAAAACAACAATACTATGAGAACTTTTCGCTTGGCGTTCTGAAACGGGTATCCCTACATGATTAAGATAAAAGTAAACAAATAGTCTTGAAATACCTGTGATAGCGTAGTCTGGGAATTCAATGGAACCCTTCACTTCTCGTTTAGGTGTCTGGAAGCATTGTGTATAGAAGTAAACAAGATTACTTTTTTAGCAGGTCGTAATTGACCTGTAAATTTATATCCGTTGAAACGAACATCTTCGCACGCATCTTCTGTAATGAGGTAAGCTTTGAATTATTGTTTACTGACCGGTACCGACAACGTGTATTGTTTTATGTGTTTTCCAAAACTGTTTGAAACATTCCTCGAAATTAACACATGAAAATATTGTTATTTCTTGACAAATACTTGTGAACAGAAGAATGATGTTTCAATCCCCAAATCACGACACACAGGGCACTTTAAATTAGACGGTTTGCCACATGATGGAGTTATACAAATGTTTTCCATTTTACTTGTACTATGAACTATTTCAATATGATACTGAAAATATTAAAATACATGGTACTACTAATTTATAAACAAAAGCACTGTGCGCATACGTTACACCATAGGTGAAATGATAATATTTTTTACTTGGGTTTGGGCGTGAACAATACTAGATTTTTTGACTGTATGTCAAGTCTTTCTCCAACTTGATGACAAGAGTAATCATGTTATTGTTATCTACCAAATAACTGGTAAGTATCGGCAACTGTCTCGATTATCAACCTAGTTTTGCCAATTACGTTAATGAATGGATAGGATCTTAGATAAAACTAGAGAATAACTCCGCCCAGGCAACTACATAGAAACCTTTATTCCCACATGAGTTTATTTAGCGTGCCCGTAGATCCAGTTTTACATACTCAGGTAGTGTACTCTAGCCTCTTGGTTTAACCGAACTATATTGTCTGGATTCCCCAAGTGGTGCTAGTAATTATTAGGAGACAAATTTTTGAACAAAGAAAATGGTATACGTATGATAAAACTGACTTGGATGTAGGGGGAAGAGACCCTTGGTATATATATATATATTTGTTGGTGAGATTTTAGATAGTAACTTGCCAAATTGTTTCAAGTAGGTGTCAAACGGTTGTGAGAACTGGAATACCAAGAAATTCCCATTAAGCGGATCCACATTTTGCTCACCAAGGTCCGTGCAAACGAGATATTACCTAGTCCTTGTGAGTACAATTATTGGTCAGTTCTGTTTTACCTTTAGTTCTACCCACACGTTTGTCGTACATACGTGCATTTTTGCAGTTTCTAGTACGAATCAGTAACCATCATTGAATTCAAGCATTAATACTGTAAGAAAAAAAGCAAATCACAAGGACAACTGCTGTTCTAAACATTGTTTGAATAAAACTAAAAGGGCTCAAAGACTAGCACAGCGACGTCTGCCCAGATCCTACACTTGAAACTTAGTCTTTCGAACACGTGAGTAGAGATAGCACTTCTCCATGAAAATTTTAGTAAGAGGTGTCAGGGTACGAGTAGACAACTTATTATAGATAAATATATGATACACTATAGAATGTTTGAACTTAAGGAGACAGAACTGAGTTTATTTGGAAGGGTATTATAATATTTGAAGTGGAGAAGAGTAAGGATGTGAAACCAGGAACCCGTTTGTAAATACGATATAAGCATGTTAGAAACTTTAAAAAAGGTACTGTTGACATTTACAAAATTGATAGACAAGATACACTTTATGTAGAAATATTAAAGTAAATTAGGATGATGGTTAGGTCTACATAACGTGTTTACGAACAATGAAAATACACGGTTAATGTCAACATTTATCTGTTACTTTCCAATCTCAACTTACGGTGCATCATGTGGTTTTCATTAAGATCACAAAAGCTTTTGTTTTCTTTAAACTAGCTCAAATTCCTTTATTTACCTTGAAGTCTGCAAATATGGGGAGAAACCCCATGAGATATGTAGACAAGAGGGAATTATTAGGTTTCTAACCGCGTCTTCCATAGAATGTCTCTAAAATCGTTGATGGAGCCTCTCCTAAATTGGAGAAATTCGCTCTGAAGTTGAGAGATTGGCTGGTAATGTTGCTCGTGATAACAAGATTGAGTCCCTACGTATCATATATTACGTAGTCAATAAAGTGTAAGCCTTCCCAAGAAACGGAAGAGGAAACAAATGCTAATAGGGGGGATGAATGGGGGACGTGCAAAAAGTCTCCTTGGCCTGAAATGGGGAAATTGGGCAAACCCTCCCTTTCTTCGTTTTATGTTTGAAATGTCGCCGGATTACTCACTTCTTGCCTAAGTACACACTGAATTATCAACTTTTTGCCTAAATACACACCGATTAATCTACCATGCATCTAAATACACGGGGGACCAATGTTTCTCACCAAAAGACATTTGCACACACAAACGTTAACGCTCCACGGGTATCGTTCACTGATGGAAGTTGCGAGCACTTGAAGGTCAAACTGTCGCAAGATGATTGATGCGTCACCTCGACAATCCGTAGTTTTGCAGTAGCAGTTAAATCAAGACGTCGTTAGATTTGAATTGAGTTTAGCCATACTATGTCTAATAACGTCCATCCTTCAAGTAACGAAAACGGTGCTATCGTGATGGTGCATGATATAGGAAGAATATACAATGACATTATTTTATCGCGACGATTCACATGTTGGGATAATTTTGAGACCTGTTTGAAAGTACATAAGTAATATGATGATGATTATCTTTGAAGTATGCGCATACTAAGTATGTTATGTCAGCATGTAAAACGAACAATGATGACCCAACTCTCAGATATGCCTGTACTTATGAACGTAAACGCAGTTCGTCAGAATCAGCTGCTTATCTTCAGGATATAGATTCTGTTTGTTAAGGACAGTAGGCTTGACGGCTTGTGTTAGTCCTGGCAGTGGTGGCCTCTCAGTTGATCCAATTTTCTTTTGAAAGAGTCGACGGATGGAGCGTCAACCACGTGCTGAAGTAATGAATTCCACTCGTTGATGATTCGACGAGAAACTCGATAGTCAATTGATAAGTAATTTGCCCTGGATTTATGAACAACCGAAATCGGAACAGATTCACCTGCTTCCTGGGATTGCATAATCAGCATGTCGGTTGTGTACTGAAACCGCTGCTACCTAGAATTTGAACCATACACTTTTAGACTATACTCCCCCACGAAATAATGTTGGATCTTCATATCCCCAAGTTATGAATGATGTGGCTTCATTTAAAACTTATTTCTCACATTGGTTAGAGTAAACGTTAGAAATGTTTTTGTGATAAGGGTAAACAGCAATTGATATGAGACCATCCGAATTGTAACCAAACTCGAGCTCATTTAGTACTCGTGCTTCGCATTGAACAAGTTTCCCACAATAAACAAATGCAATATGAAGACAAATAATATTTGATATGAAATCAAGATTTGACTCTTCTGAAATAGTTTCCTTAAATTTATTAGGAATGTCATTGCAGAGTAAAAAATCATTAGAAAAATCAGCATCTATCAAAACTACATCAGGTTTTCGATCATGACTAGGTCCATTCAACATATTTTCCTCAGATTTGCAAGGAATTTCGTCAGAAATAAGTGGATCATTAGGAAAAACCATATCTGGTACAATAACATGAGAAATCTGATAAGTCGATTGACTAGAAACTATTGTCTCGCAAGGATTTTGAGTTTCACTTAACTCTGAACTGCTATATGACTTTACACTGTATTTTGAAATCGTTGATGAAAATAACTGATCATTATAAATACTCAACTTAATCGAATCAGAATTAAAAGACTTAGTATTAGTTGCATGGAGATGAACAGTAGTCATACAAACTGACTGAATATGTCCAACATCACCACATTTAAGGCACTTAGAATTACGAAGTTTACATGAATTAAAAGAGTGGAGCTTGCCACAGGACAAACACTGACCAAACTCGTGCTCATCTTCGTGATATGCATTGCAACTCCTCAATGAATTATCTGCATAACCTTGAGTATGCACTGGGTTGGGATGACGTAGTAATGTAGTGGAGTTTTTTATATCCTCATGAATCACTTTACAAAATCTTCCTCCTTTACCACATTCGAAATTTATATGCTTAAAATAGTCTAGCAGTAGTTCCTTGAGAGTTGCATAAGAAAGCGAAATAGACTTTTCTAGTAAAGCCAGAGTTTCTAATAAGCTGTATGCTTCTTTTCCGATGGATGTTAGGAAATGTGCCACAATATTAACATCCTCAACATCTTCCTTGGTCATAGCCCAGATTTCGAACCTTTCCAAGAAATCCTCAGTAGCACCAAAATCTGAATGTATATCCAACAATTCCATCACAGGCTCCATCGCGACGTCAATGTGATGATTAGAAGTATTTAAATTATAGTATAAACTAAGAATTCCAGAAATAACGTAATTGGATCAAGAAGTACTAGATAAGCACTAACAAATGTACTGTATTTGGGGTTCAAAATCAAGCATTCAACAAATACAAAAGAGTCATTAGTTCATTCAGACAACACAGACACGCATGACGTGAGTCATATAATGTTAGGAGTGCATTTCGGACTGCAAGCCATCATTCAATTCTATTTAAGGAGTTCAGTTCTGGCATTCAACGAGAAGGTTGGTACCATGACAAGCCCATATGGGTTATTCTAGCCTTTGTGCATAACAGGCTTCTCAAGTCATCATATGACTGTAACTTATTTTTGTCTGAGTACAAATATTGAGTGACATTTGATAAAGACGAGTTGGCACGCTCGCCTTCTACACTATGCGTCATTTCGTTTCGCCTCACTCTGCTCTCCACCTTTTTGAATTCATTTCTCTGATGGTCTGTCTGGACCAACGATCGTGTGAAATATACTTATTCGAAACCCACTCTCGTGATCGACTTATTTAATTCCGTTATTCGCAAACGCAGTTCAAGCCGATAAGTATATACGAGGGTAGCTTGGACTTGTATTTTAGTAGCGATCAGTACATAATCTAATTGCAGTCAGATATCGGGTCATTAAATCCTCAACAGACTGTCACGAAACTACGTGCCATTTTATCCTGCGTACTTGTCTATCATTCATTTTTTAAGACTAGCAGTTAGAAATGTTGTTTTAAAAGTGTCAATGCAAAGTAGCCCACACAGACTGAATAATGAATGTCACGAAAAAGATACCCATGGAAAATTGCCCATCCCTTACTTATTACCATTTACACAGAAGCAGATATGTGACACAACCTGGCCTTTCTTCAGGTAGTTGATGTTAACTAGATACAAACAAGACAGAGCAGACGGGGTTCAGTAGTGTCGCCGTCACATTCTGAACACGAAGAAGAATATTCCCTTCATACACAACTAGTCTCACTAATGCATTCTTTCATATTTTCCATTTTATATGATTGTGACTTTCTGGCTAAGACCTCTACAGCTAAGTAGAAGCCTGAATTACAAATAACACTTTGGTGACACTCA